ACTATGTGTCAGTACTCTCACTGTGTGTCAGTACTCTCACTGTGTGTCAGTACTCTCACTGTGTGTCAGTACTCTCACTGTGTGTCAGTACTCTCACTGTGCGTCAGCACTCTCACTGTGTCAGTACTCTCACTGTGTCAGTACTCTCACTGCGTGTCAGTACTCTCACTGTGTGTCAGTACTCTCACTGTGCGTCAGCACTCTCACTGTGTGTCAGTACTCTCACTGTGCGTCAGCACTCTCACTGTGTGTCAGTACTCTCACTGTGTCAGTACTCTCACTGTGTGTCAGTACTCTCACTGTGTGTCAGTACTCTCACTGTGTGTCAGTACTCTCACTGTGCGTCAGCACTCTCACTGTGTGTCAGTACTCTCACTGTGTCAGTACTCTCACTGTGTGTCAGTACTCTCACTGCGTGTCAGTACTCTCACTGTGTGTCAGTACTCTCACTGTGCGTCAGCACTCTCACTGTGTGTCAGTACTCTCACTGTGTCAGTACTCTCACTGTGTCAGTACTCTCACTGTGCGTCAGCACTCTCACTGTGTGTCAGTACTCTCACTGTGTCAGTACTCTCACTGTGTGTCAGCACTCTCCCTGTGTGTCAGTACTCTCACTGTGCGTCAGTATTCTCACTGTGTGTCAGCACTCTCACTGTGTGTCAGCACTCTCACTGTGTGTCAGTACTCTCACTGTGTCAGTACTCTCACTGTGTGTCAGTACTCTCACTGTGTGTCAGTACTCTCACTGTGCGTCAGTACTCTCACTGTGTGTCAGTACTCTCACTGTGTCAGTACTCTCACTGTGTCAGCACTCTCACTGTGTGTCAGTACTCTCACTGTGTGTCAGTACTCTCACTGTCAGTACTCTCACTGTGTGTCAGTACTCTCACTGTGTGTCAGTACTCTCACTGTGTCAGTACTCTGACTGTGTGTCAGTACTCTCACTGTGTCAGTACTCTCACTGTGTGTCAGTACTCTCACTGTGTGTCAGTACTCTCACTGTGTGTCAGTACTCTCACTGTGTCAGTACTCTCACTGTGTGTCAGCACTCTCACTGTGTGTCAGTACTCTCACTGTGTGTCAGTACTCTCATTGTGTCAGTACTCTCACTGTGTGTCAGTACTCTCACTGTGTGTCAGTACTCTCACTGTGCGTCAGTACTCTCACTGTGTGTCAGCACTCTCACTGCGTGTCAGTACTCTCACTGTGTGTCAGTACTCTCACTGTGTGTCAGTACTCTCACTGTGTGTCAGCACTCTCACTGCGTGTCAGTACTCTCACTGTGTCAGTACTCTCACTGCGTGTCAGTACTCTCACTGTGTCAGTACTCTCACTGTGTGTCAGCACTCTCACTGTGTCAGTACTCTCACTGCGTGTCAGCACTCTCACTGCGTGTCAGTACTCTCACTGTGTCAGTACTCTCACTGCGTGTCAGCACTCTCACTGTGTCAGTACTCTCACTGTCCGTCAGTACTCTCACTGTGTCAGTACTCTCACTGTGTCAGTACTCTCACTGCGTGTCAGTACTCTCACTGTCCGTCAGTACTCTCACTGTGTCAGTACTCTCACTGTGTCAGTACTCTCACTGCGCGTCAGTACTCTCACTGTGTCAGTACTCTCACTGTGTCAGTACTCTCACTGCGCGTCAGTGCTCTCACTGTGTCAGTACTCTCACTGTGTCAGTACTCTCACTGTCCGTCAGTACTCTCACTGTGCGTCAGTACTCTCACTGTGTCAGTACTCTCACTGTGTGTCAGTACTCTCACTGTGTCAGTACTCTCACTGCGCGTCAGTACTCTCACTGTGTCAGTACTCTCACTGTGCGTCAGTACTCTCACTGTGTCAGTACTCTCACTGTGTGTCAGTACTCTTACTGTGTCAGTACTCTCACTGTGTGTCAGTACTCTCACTGTGCGTCAGTACTCTCACTGTGTCAGTACTCTCACTGTGTGTCAGTACTCTCACTGTGTCAGTACTCTCACTGCGCGTCAGTACTCTCACTGCACGTCAGTACTCTCACTGTGTCAGTGCTCTCACTGTGTGTCAGTACTCTCACTGTGTTAGTACTCTCACTGCGTGTCAGTACTCTCACTGTGTCAGTACTCTCACTGCGTGTCAGCACTCTCACTGTGTCAGTACTCTCACTGTGTGTCAGTACTCTCACTGTGTGTCAGTACTCTCACTGTGTCAGTACTCTCACTGTGTGTCAGTACTCTCACTGTGTCAGTACTCTCACTGTGTGTCAGTACTCTCACTGTGTCAGTACTCTCACTGTGTCAGTACTCTCACTGTGTCAGTACTCTCACTGTGTCAGTACTCTCACTGCGTGTCAGCACTCTCACTGCGTGTCAGCACTCTCACTGTGTCAGTACTCTCACTGCGTGTCAGCACTCTCACTGTGTCAGTACTCTCACTGTGTCAGTACTCTCACTGCGTGTCAGTACTCTCACTGTGTCAGTACTCTCACTGTGTGTCAGCACTCTCGCTGTGTGTCAGTACTCTCGCTGTCCGTCAGTACTCTCACTGTGTCAGTACTCTCACTGCGTGTCAGTACTCTCACTGTCCGTCAGTACTCTCACTGTGCGTCAGTACTCTCACTGTGTCAGTACTCTCACTGTGTCAGCACTCTCACTGCGTGTCAGTACTCTCACTGTCCGTCAGTACTCTCACTGTGCGTCAGTACTCTCACTGTGTCAGTACTCTCACTGTGTGTCAGTACTCTCACTGTGTCAGTACTCTCACTGTGTCAGTACTCTCACTGTGTGTCAGTACTCTCACTGCGTGTCAGTACTCTCACTGTCCGTCAGTACTCTCACTGTGCGTCAGTACTCTCACTGCGCGTCAGTACTCTCACTGCGTGTCAGTACTCTCACTGTCCGTCAGTACTCTCACTGTGCGTCAGTACTCTCACTGTCCGTCAGTACTCTCACTGCGCGTCAGTACTCTCACTGCGCGTCAGTACTCTCACTGTGTCAGTACTCTCACTGTGCGTCAGTACTCTCACTGTGTCAGTACTCTCACTGTGTGTCAGCACTCTCACTGTGTGTCAGCACTCTCACTGTGTCAGTACTCTCACTGTGTCAGTACTCTCACTGTGTGTCAGCACTCTCACTGTGTGTCAGCACTCTCACTGTGTGTCAGCACTCTCACTGTGTCAGTACTCTCACTGTGTCAGTACTCTCACTGTGTCAGTACTCTCACTGTGTGTCAGCACTCTCACTGTGTGTCAGTACTCTCACTGTGTCAGTACTCTCACTGTGTCAGTACTCTCACTGTGCGTCAGTACTCTCACTGTGCGTCAGTACTCTCACTGTGCGTCAGCACTCTCACTGTGTGTCAGCACTCTCACTGTGTCAGTACTCTCACTGTGTCAGTACTCTCACTGTGCGTCAGTACTCTCACTGCGCGTCAGCACTCTCACTGCGTGTCAGTACTCTCACTGCGTGTCAGCACTCTCACTGTGTGTCAGTACTCTCACTGTGTGTCAGTACTCTCACTGTGTGTCAGTACTCTCACTGTGTGTCAGCACTCTCACTGTGTGTCAGTACTCTCACTGTGCGTCAGCACTCTCACTGTGTGTCAGCACTCTCACTGTGCGTCAGCACTCTCACTGTGTGTCAGTACTCTCACTGTGTGTCAGTACTCTCACTGTGTGTCAGTACTCTCACTGTGTGTCAGTACTCACTGTGTGTCAGCACTCTCACTGTGTGTCAGCACTCTCACTGTGTGTCAGTACTCTCACTGTGTGTCAGTACTCTCACTGTGTGTCAGTACTCACTGTGTGTCAGCACTCTCACTGTGCGTCAGCACTCTCACTGCGCGTCAGTACTCTCACTGTGTGTTTTTCCACGACTTGATCGATAACATTTTTGACATGCGTTTTTCTGGATTTTTTTGTTGTTATTCTGTCTCTCACTGTTCAAATAAAACCCTACCATTAAAATTATAGACTGATCATTTCTTTTTCAGTGGGCAAACGTACAAAATCAGCAGGGGATCAGATACTTTTTTCCCTCACTGTATACTGTTTTGCATTACTTACACTGTGTCAGTACTCACTGTATATTTGTACTATGTGTATTAATACTCATGGTGCCAGTACTAACACTGTCAGTACTCTGTGTTTGTATTCACTGTAACTACTCTGTCATTACTCACCGAGTCAGTACTCTCACTGTGTGTCATTACTCACTGTAAGTACTAACACAGTGTATCAGCACTCACGGTAAGTACTGACTGTGTGTCATTAATCTCTGTGTCAGTACTCTCAGTGTGAGTCGTCATTACTCCCCGTGTTTTAGTACTTTCACTTGTCAATACTCATTAAGTACAGCGCTCTCTCCCTCACTATAAAAAAGCCACTCGCTCATTGCTTGAGCCTTACAAATACAGTGATTCCTCTACTTACAAACGTTCGACTAACGAACGCTCAGAGATACGAACAAACCTGTCCGTATGTCCATTTGCCTGTTCGGAGCGAGATTCGTAAGTTCAAACGCCGCGCAATAGATGGTAGTGGCATCTATATCTACAGGATATTATACAACCATTAAAGCCATTCCCCGTGTTTAGTGTACATGCAGGATAACATGTTTGGAATCGACAGAGGTAAGGTCTGTTCGACTTACGAACAGAACCTAACTCGTTCGTAAGTAGAGGATTCCCTGTATAGGAATTACTCGCACACACGACTGAATATTTGGCATATTACACCCTTAAGAGTGCATACCACTCACTCACTATAACCACTGACCATATCACATACCAAAGGACGCACCGAGTCTGACATTTTATGAGTTGGTACGAATGACGATTCCTCAGCACGGACACGGATTTCACATGGACTACACAGGAGGTAGTGGCTGAGTGAAGGTGTCAGATTGGTGACACAGGAACCTGGAATCTCCACTGAGGCACGGGGCGCAGGGTGCAGTAGAGTTCACAAGAATCCCTAGTGTGGTACGGTTCATGGAAATCCCCGGTGCAGGTGTGGTACTCACTCTGATCCGCGGTTATAACATTGCCGAGCACGTTAGACAAACTCCTCTCCATGACTCTCTGTAGGGAGTCTGGGACGTTGGAGGCGTCCGGCGAGAGGGCCGTCAGCATCTTCATGTAGAGCTCTGAGAGATGATGACAGTCATCAGATATCAGCTCAACATCATGGACTGTGTTCAGGTCAATGTATGATATACATCAATTAACAAGCAAGTTCAATTGAAATGTTTGAACAATTATTCAATTTTTCCGTAATAAATGAAGCTTCTCCATCAGCAAATGGTTTTAGTATTTTTCTGTACCTTAAATCTTGACTTAAAGCTTTCGTGACTGCAGGAATTCATATTCTTTGGGTCTTTCAGTAAAGTCTTTACCGAAAGACCCAAATAATATTTCTGTACCTTATTAGATAAAACTGTAAATCATGAAAAAACCATCATAATAGAGTAATAGTGCTGCTCGACAAGCATACATCTGTACCAACATGGGTAAAAAGCAAACAACCATGTATGCAGACCAAGGTCATTGCCATGGAGTCAACATTGGGGGAGACCAAATCTTCCAGGGTGTCTGGGGGTCCCAACCTAGAAAAATATCTACATTTGAAAACGAATTTCCTGCCTAATATATTAAAACATTCACTAACACATGGGATGGACTTTTTATTTATTTTTTACAATAATGTCTAATAGTGTATTGTATTACATTGCTCTGTTTTGACTTTTTTACCATTTCTTGTTTCATTGTATGTAATGGCAGAGATTAGGGATTAATAAAGTACAACCATAACCACAATCATATAAACATTAATCTTTGCATTGATTTACATGAAGACAAGTCCTGATATTGTGGGCAAGGTTTAGCAAATTGTTGTTTTTATTTACATAGCATAGCAATTTTAGTTTAAAGCAATATATTGGGGGGGGGGGGCATTTTGAGCATATTTGAATATTGGGGGGATGTGTATTCAAATTGCTTAGAGCCAAGTTGGAGGAGGGAAACCCCCGCTACTGCGAGCACCAGCTCCGAGCATCACGTTACTCGTGACATGGGGCGCGTGCCCCCCTCTCTCAGGTTACAGGCAGCACGCAACTGCCACTTGCGCTCTACGCCAGAGCCGCATTGCGTCACAAGTGAGTGGCATCAACACTGCAAGAATAATGCAGAGTGAGAGGCAGTGGCACTGCAGGGCTGATGCAGGGTGAGTGGGGATATACAAACAGAAGCAGCGAGGAGCGAGGTTATGCTCATCTAAATAGGATCTCTCCTCCTCTGTTTGGCTCACACTAAATCTTTCACAAACGGAATCTCCGAGCTCTTGGTACTGAAAATCAGACGCTGGGTGAGAGTCACAGCTCACCCTGCATGGGGCTTTCAAAGTGGCGAGGATGCAGTGAGGAGCAGCACGGCTCTTACCCGCAGCTCCTGCAGGACGAGCGCTGGGCCGGGCAGCTCGGTTCCCTAACCAGGGTATCGTGGCCTTGCTGCTTAGCAGTGACACTGATGCACTGGGACCACACATGTCCCACCCAGTAACTGGAAGCTTGTGGACAGATAAGTCACATTGCCAAGGGTTCACACGGGGAATTTGAGGGTTTCTAATAGGTAAAATACAGGACCTGTGCGGTGCAGTGAGGAGCAGCACCCACCTATTCCCCCCTCTTTGTGGAAGGCTCTTGTTCGCGCTACTATCTCCTCCGGGTTGTATGGATCTTGTAAGCCATACAATCTTAGCAGGGTTGGGACGGTGGAATTGTCAAACCTACAACACAAGGGGTACGATTGAGGATTGGAGTTGCATTGGTATAAAGACAACAGAATGCTAATTTACACAATCAAATATAAATTAAATTAATGTGTATGTAGCATATTTTCTATTTGCTTCATATCCATGTGTTTAGAGAGCTGTGTTCCATAAACTATCATATCTGCCCAACCTACATGGGAAATTATATTTTTATACAGTTATCCTTTAAGTTAACACTGATAGGAACCAAATAACCCACTCATTAATTACAAAGTAATTAAATAGTGCAAACTATGTTTAGTTCTGTAAGTGCAGGACGTGAGCTCTGCGCCACTGAGCGCACACACCCGTCCTGCAGTCTCCTGCTCGGTTCGCAAGCGGAGAATCTCATATTCATGCAGTGCTACAATCACCTCTATGCCCCTACCCCCCTCTATCCCTCTCAGTCTCATTTTACTCAATTCTCCTCATATCGCAGTCTTTCCCCATCTCCCTGTGCCTTTCATCCAGCCTTCATTTCTTTCCATATGTCACCATGTCTCGCATGTCCCTGTGTACATCTTCGTGTCCTCAGCTCTCTCCCCATGGCCCTGTGTTTCTATGTAACCTCTCTCTTCCCATGGCCACATGTCTATCCTCATGGCCCCATGTATCTCACCTTGTCCCCATGCATCTCCCCCCATCCCTATGTCTATCTCCATGTGTCCTCGTCTCTCCCTGTGTCTCTCTACTCTTTCCCGTATCTCTCACTTTGTCCCTGCCTTTCTCTGTGTATCTCTGAGTGTCCCCCGTGTCTCCTTCATGTCCCCATGTCTCTCACTCGTCCCTGCTTCTCTCTGTGTATATCTGAGCTTGCCCGGTGTCTCCTCCGTGTCCCCACACAATTCCTGCATTTTTCTCCATCTCCCCGTGTCACTGTGTCTCTCATCATGTCCCTTTGTATCTCTTCATGTTCCTTTGTCTTTAACTGTCCCCATGTCTCTCTGTGTCCTCGTGTCTCCCCCATGTCCCCGTGTCTCTACGCCATTACCCCCTTCTCTCTCTGTCCGTGAATATCTCTTGATCCCCCATGTCTCTCCCAATACTCTTTATTTCTCCCCATTCACCCATCTCTCTCTCCCTATGTCTCCCCCTGTCTCTCTCCATGCCCCCATGTCTCTCCCGGTGTCTCACACCTGGTCCCCGTGTCTCTCACTGTGTCTCCATGTCCTCGTGTCTCTCCCTGTATATCTCTCTATGTCCCCATGTCTCTCCCCGTGTCTCTCACCTGATCCCCGTGTCTATTTCTGTCTCTCTCTCCATGTCCCCGGGTCTCTCTTTATGTCTTCATGTATCTCACTTTGTCCCTGCCTTTCTCTTTGTACTGTAATTCCAAGTATCAATCGTCCCCCCCATATCTCCACATATTTTCTCCATCTCTCATCTCTCTCCACGTCCCCTATAACCCTTTACAATCTCACTGCCTCAGCCCTGGCTGCCTCTTCCCTGTGCCCTCTCTCCTGGCTCACTAATGCGCCATGCTGTGGCTCCAGCTTACGCTCTGCCTCATGGCTTCTGCTTCTCACTTCCAGTTTTGGCAGGTGCTACTTTGTGCTGGGGAAGTAATTTATAGATTTTAAGTTTTCGTGACTGCAAGAATCCATACTCTTTGGTTCTTTCGGTAAAGTCACGTAGGTGAAAATAAAAATATATAAATAAAGCATAAAAATAACTAAATTAAATCACGTTTCGGAGGCAACACAAGCTTCCGTCACCAGGTGGGACAACCACAGCAAAAAACAGAATTACTCTAGTGGGCAGAGCGAGCTGTATGTTACAAGCGATTATATAGGGTAAGAGGGGGGGAGGAGCCAGGGAGGAGGGACGCAGGGGGGTGCCGGTGTGTGGAGTCGGGGGCGGGGGTTAAGCTGTTGTCGTTATTTTCTATAGCCCTGAGGCAATTAGGATATTACCATATTAATAACATCACCCCTGCATCCTAAAAGGATGTTATTAATATGGTAATATCCTAATTGCCTCGGGGCTATAGAAAATAACGACAACAGCTTAACCTCCGCCCCCGACTCCACACGCCAGCCCCCCCCCTGCATCCCTTCTCCCTGGCTCCTCCCCACCTCTTAACCTATATAATCGCTTGTCACATACAGCTCTCTCTGCCCACCACAGTAATTCTGTTTTTTGCTGTGGTTGTCCCACCTGATGACGGAAGCTTGTGTTGCCTCCGAAACGTCGTGATTAAATTTAGTTATTTTTATTCTTTATTTTTATTCTTATTTTTTAATTTTCACCTACGTGACTTTACCGAAAGAACCAAAGTAATTTGTAATCACAATAGAAATTTCAGAATTTTACCATGAACACCGAATCAAGTTACAACTACAGCCGTTAATTATGTTAAAGTGTAAAGCAGCAAGGAGCCCATTGTGGGTGAGGAGACGTCCCTCTCACCTGGAGAGCTTCTTCAGGTCGTCCAGTAGAATCCGCACCTGCTCCGTCTTCTTCTTGAATCTCTCATCTGTCACAGCAGCAGCAGTACAACCCGGATTACTGGGGTCCTACCCGAGTCCATTGACTCACGTCTATTGGCTTCCAGGAGCATGGAACAGCCCTACCCTCCACTGAATGCCTTGAGCCCATGGTGGAAATTCCACATTCCCATGGCAGATGCCAGTTACTTAACAGCATAACAACTTCATTCAAAATAAACACACCCACCCTAGGGAGATAGTGGGCTGAGTCGTCCCCCAATGAGATTTAACTCTGAACCTTCTGATTGTCAGCCTAAGGGGCTGAGGGTCCCAGCAAGGCTTCAGCTACAAGACTCGAGGTGTTCAGATCGGGGCCCTGAGAGCTCAACACGACAGCCGCTGCTGTAACGTGAACAGGGAGCAGAGTCGCTCTGCGGCGCCCCCCACAGCCCCACGTAGCACGGGACACGCGCCCCACGTACGGTGGCCGCGCCCTCCCCACGACTCTTGGTGGCGCCACCACCACACGCTGCGTCACGCCGGGACGCAGGAGCCACAGGAGAGCGGCGCGAGCACAACCCCCGCCTGAGCCTGCGAGCAGCGCTCCCCGCACGGAGGGAGAGAGAACTCCACCCGCAGTGGGATGCGTGGCGCTGCTCTAGAGGCCCCGCGAGTGGCCCGGCTGGTTGTAAGCGCCACACCGAGCCCAGTGCTGAGGGAGCTGTGGGGGGCGCTCAGCGTCTGTCACGCCGCCCGGCAATACCTGTGAATCGAAACTCGGCGTGCCTGTGGCTACCACGGTCACAGACGCGGCACTCAGGGTCCCGCACACATTCTATTGAGCAGTGGCTCAAACTTGCATGCACATTGGGTATAATTGAATAAAAATGTAATATTATGTAAGAATAACAACGTGATGTGATCTATTTTAATTTACATCATTGGACTCATGGCTCCTTGTACAGAAGGCCATGCCTATGTCGAGATTTGTACCTTAGGACTATGCGTGTACACAGGACTGTGTGCTCAGGCCATGCATGTCCACAGATCAGACTATGTGTGTACACATGCTCTTCACACACAGGGTGTAGAGGGTAGAGCCACAGGGCTGTGGTAAGGAGGCTAAGCCCCATGACCCCATGACCCAGATTCAGAGGTCAGGCCCTGGATCCCGACTCCCGCACGAACCTGTAGCCATGGCTCCACGTGCTCAGCTCACAGCGTCACCTTCAACGATGGAACCACTCCCTCCTCACGGCGCTGTGGGAATAGAGGGAGCTCAGTGAGAGAGGAACAGCTGTGGGAACACAGAGGGAGATCAGTGAGGGAGGAACAGCTGTGGGAACAGAGAGGGAGCTCAGTGAGGGAGGAACAGCTGTGGGAACAGAGAGGGAGCTCAGTGAGGGAGGAACAGCTGTGGGAACACAGAGGGAGATCAGTGAGGGAGGAACAGCTGTGGGAACAGAGAGGGAGCTCAGTGAGGGAGGAACAGCTGTGGGAACACAGAGGGAGATCAGTGAGGGAGGAACAGCTGTGGGAACAGAGAGGGAGCTCAGTGAGGGAGGAACAGCTGTGGGAACAGAGAGGGAGCTCAGTGAGGGAGGAACAGCTGTGGGAACAGAGAGGGAGATAGTGAGGGAGGAATAGCTGTGGGGACAGAGCTGTGTGCAGTTTTAGGCAACACGAATAATGAGAAAATCCCTGAGAGTGCTTAGATACCAGTGATGAGTGTGCAAGCAGTGACAGCTGTCATTGCCATTATCGCGTTTATACACAATCCATATCAGCTGTGGATTGCAACAACATAAACAGATGGAGCTGTGGCACAGTGGCTAGCACACTGCGATGTAAACCTGGCGACCTGCATTTTCTTCCAGACCACGGCCCATATCAGTGGTGATATCTGAACCAGTCTTGGACCTACAAATATCCGACACCCTCTTCACCAATCCCCACTGACCAGCGTGGTGAAGTATGGCCAAACATCCCTCTTGAGCCTACATGGTATGGGAAGGCCTCCATCCAACAGTAGATTGCAAAGGATGTCGTTATCTTTTATTTAAGTTCATGAGCCCAGCACGGAGTTTAGTGGTAGAAATTAGAGAACATCTCACCCAACAACCAGTGGGCTCACCAGGACAACTTTATCTCAGTGGCATTCAATTAGACAAGGCCAGTCCTGCCAGGGTTCGCCTCCACTGAGTCCTATCAGCAGGGTGTGGCCACGCCACTGGGTCACCTGATGGAGAGCCATCGACCATCACCGTGGGGTTGCAGTGGCTGTGGACGTGCTCTGCTCTGGCGAGTAATGGGCGATGATGCGACTGAAGCAGTTAGCCCGTGCGGGGTTTTTTACTTACTCAGCTAAACCCTGGCCCGGGTTCACCTGCACTGAGTCTCATCAGCTGGGTGTGCTCCGCTAAGCCAATGCCGGGCACCCAGTGCGAGTGATCGGTCAGTGGAGTTCACTCGCAGCGGGCCGGCTCCCGAGTGGCGTCAGCTTCTCAAACTCCCCTTGCAGCAGGGGGCGCTCGGGAGCTGCAGGGACGTCCACAGAGTTCACCACCGACAGAGGCGGATCTTGGTCAATGACTCTCCAAGACGCGGCTCGGTGGTGGCCGCGCTCAGCGCTGCCGACGCCGCCGCTGCACTCGCGGCGATGTCGATGCAGGGACCGCGAGAGCCGTCGCGTGAACCCGCGGAGAACTCCGAGAGCCGCAGCGCCGCCTCCCTTCCCCGGGGACCCCGAGGCCGCGCTCAGCACAGGGGGAGCGCCGTCCCCGTGCTGAGCGCGTTGGCAGCGGCCGGGAGCTCCCGGGGATTCCTGGGAATCCGGCACGGGCATCTCGACCTCGCACACGGCCCTACGCGTTGCGCTGCGGTTCTACGTTTGTGTTATGAGTTAAACACTCACCACTGCTGTTTACTTTGTCTGTTAATGGGTCATCCAAAGCATAATTGAAACTGGTAGCACCTGCTAGCCATGTGTGGTATCGCAATATTATACAAGAGGCTGGGATCAGCGTTGGGTTTGGGATGAGAGGCCGCACCGTGGTTAGGGTCGGTGACACCGATCATCCCTCAGGGTGGATGTCTGTCAGCTAACGCATTCAACATTCGAGTCTGACCGTGTCGTTCCATCCCCCCTCCAACCAGGATCCAGGGTCCAGCTCCAAGCAGTGACCCCTTTACTCCTCATGGCAGAGAGACTTTGGCATTAACTTTCACAGTCCAGCCTCTTCCCCAAGGCTCCATCTGCTCCTCCCACGCCCAACCAATATCCCTCCCATCACAGCCCATCAACTCACACAACACTGCCTCCCCTTACCAACCCAGGTTTACCCCTCACCTCTACCAACCATCAGCATGCACAGCCCTACCAGCATCATCTCTCCCTCTCCATGATTCCAAGATCTAAGTTGGCGTTTTCTCCACCATTGGAACCTCATTTGCCAGTAGCAAAATATGATAATTGGTTTTTTACCCTTTTATCTGGCATTATTGTTGCCAAATAAAAGGGTAAAAAAACAATTATCATATTCGGCGTTTTCTGTTACAATGGGATGTAAATGCGAAGAGAATCCACACAATAGGCAATGAGTGTGTGGATTGCATTGAACTGGATACAGGAGGCTTTATGAATCAGTCCCCATGCACGCGTTGTGAGTGAATGCTGGCTCCGTGTTCACATCACAGAAGCGGAGTCTAGTGATGCCACTGAACCCCACCACTCTTGACCGGACCTCCCTGCATCGATCGTTGAAGCCAAGTAGTTTGAGCCTGGTTCGTACTTGACGTGAATACCTCGGGAATTCCAGGTGCCAATCCCATTCCAGTGATTCATATCCATCAATCACTACCTGACTTCTTCCCAATCAACTGCAGATAAATATGGAAGGCTAAACTCATACTTTTATATGATGTATTATTATTACATGACAACGGAAGTGATTTGTCCGCTCAACTTAGCATTGAGGGGGTTCTCATATCCCGTGTATAGCCCTTAGACAGTGTTTAAAATATCACGGTAGTATCACGGGGGTGAGTCTATCCAGAGGACAACCACTGGTTGACTTCCCCACAAAGTGGTACTCATTTTATAGACACCAGACAGATGATGAACTCGCAGCCTCCCGATCTTGAGCCACGCACTCTCTCGTTGGGCCTCCTGGCCGGGTGTGCTGTTTTCAAGACAACGTGAACATCATTGCTACAGTCACCATTAGAGTATTGCTGATAAACTGAAGATATCACAGAGTTTAGTTGGTTGCTCTGTTGTTGAGACACAGGAATGCTACTGTACAGTGTAAGCCCACGTGCTTGTGCAATGTGAGGCACATTTCCCAAGGCAAATGCTATTTAAATTTAAGTGTTAATCAAAACTTTCGCTTTGCATCAGAGACCCTGCTATAGAAACAGGGAATTTTCCACATCGACCCAAATCACCAATAGACCTTATCCACAGACAACATTAATTTGGACATCGGAGACGCCACAGCCACCCAGTGCTGCCTCACAACTCGGAGGCACAGAGGCTGCTGCTGCTGTGTTCGACAGCTCAGCTTCTACATTCGCCCGACAGTTTCTGGGTTGAGCTCGGCAAGAGAAGTGTGGAGTGGGTGGCGGAGTGGCCGAGAGGGAACTCTGCTGAGGCCGCGCGCCTCCCAGAGAGGAGCCGCGCAGCCCCGAGGGCGGAGCGCTCCCCGTGCTGGGGCCCACAGAGGCTCGCACGGCACGGGGCCTGCGGGGCCATGACGTGACCAGGACTGCGTGGTAGTACAGCAAGTAGGTTGCTGCCCTGTACTCTAGGGATGCTGAGTGGTAGCCCCTCGTATGCGAGGTGATACCCCCCAAGTTGTCCGATTGCTCCCTCACGCGTGAACGCTCCGTCAGGAATTTACCAAACATCCCCAGAAGGACCCTCGTTACACGAGTTGTGCCTCTGATTGTGTCTTGAATACGAGACAATCACCATTACACTTAACTACACCGCTAGACACACAACCATTGTATATTATTAAACGTACAACGTCCATAATGAAATGCACCCAATGACAACACTGTGGCGTGTCGCACTGCACGGAGCAAGCCCCTCAGTGTCTGCAGGCAGCGCGAGGCGGGGTTCGGGTTGGGGACGACCCCGGCCTGAGCATCGTCAGCCCCGCAGTCTCAGAGGCCGCGGTTCGATTCCTGCACTGCTCGCTCGTATGTGTCAGCGTAGTCGCTTTAAGATGTTTCTTGTTCAAGAGCCGAATGGCTCACAGGGCTATACCTAATAAACTGAAAAACTGAAAAAACTGAAATGACCGAATCACGCGGTCAGCTCTCGAGTGGACATTAAAGACCCAGCCCTGATGCCATTCGAGAGATATGAAACTACTGCGTATTAACATCACAGCACTCCTGTGAGTATTACAGAGATCTCGTCTAAATCACCTATCATGTATAACAGCCCCTATACCTAACTACAGACACGCCCAGGTCTCTCTTACTAAACACAGCAAGAGTCTCACTGGTTAAATAAAGGCCACAAGGTTAACAATCGCGACAGTTTTAACTGAGTCGGCACTGTCAGCAGTTTTCACCACCCAGTGACCACCCATAGGCTCTGAGCCAGATCGCCATGTTAATGAATAGGCTGAGAGACATCGCCCTGGCGATTTGTCCGATCCTTAGCGACGAAGAGAGAAGCGAGAAGACGAGGCGCGTTCTCTAGCACGGGAGCGAGCACGGAGCCCGGCCAGAGCGAGACGCCCCCCTGTGGTGCGGAGACGAAGCCGCTCTACACAGGCGCTGCTGCTGCCGCTCTACACAGGTGCAGCAGCAGCACCCAGCGAGTTGGTGCTGGAGACCGCCCTGGCTCGGGGTCACATCACGCGAACCCCTCCGCTGAGTCGTCGTGGTGGTGGTGGTGGCACAGGCGGCAGTGAGCGCGCGGTGCTGGCACGAGAAGCACTGAGCAGTGGAAAAGTGGGACTTGCACTTCCACGGGGTCCCAGTCAGGGTCAGGGTTACATACTGTAGTGTGTGGTTCTACATTGAGTAAGGCGGCTTAGACATGGAGATACGGATAGAGACTGGGTTAGAGACAGAGTTAGGGTGAGAGATGACGTGATCGTCAGGGTTAGACACAGAGTTAGGGTGAGAGATGGCGTGATGGTCATGGTTAGAGACAGAGTTAGGGTGAGAGATGGTGTGATGGTCAGGGTTAGACAGAGTTAGGGTGAGAGATGGCGTGATGGTCAGGGTTAGAGACAGAG